TGGCGCAAAGACTGGCAGAGATAGCGACAGAAGTGGAGCGAACGGGCAGTTATACGATGTCGAGCGAGGAATTGCATTTCGGTGCGAAGACGGCGTGGCGTAACGCATCAAGGTGCATCGGACGCATTCAATGGAACAAGCTGGAAATACAGGATGCCAGACATGTCCGCACCACTCATGACATGTTCACTGCTCTTTGCAAACATATCTCTTTGGCTACAAATGAAGGCAATCTTAGGTAAGAATATTCTTAACTTTAATGTGTAAAATGAAATATTAAGCCATTGTTTGTTTATTAGATCATTCATTACGGTATTTCCGCAAAAGATTTTGGGTAGAGATGACTATAGAGTATGGAATACACAACTCATTGGTTATGCCGGTAATTATATCTATTATTGAAAGTATAATTAATTTTTGATTTATAAATGTTTAACAATTATTTGATAGGTTATCTTCAATCGGACGGTAGTGTAATCGGCGATGCGGGCAGAGTTGAGTTCACTCGGGTATGTAAACTATTGATTCTTGTTTCAAAAATGACATAGTACTTATTATTAAAATAATTAAAATTTAAAATAATTAGATTTGTCAAAGACTTGGATGGAAAGGCAAGAACGGAATGTTTGATGTGTTGCCGATTGTTGTGTCGGCGCCGGAAGAAGGGGCCAAATATTACGAGATTCCCGAAGAGATTATACTTCGAGTTAAGATACAACACCCGCACTATCAATGGTTTGATGGGTTGGGTCTCGAGTGGTNACTTCGAGTTAAGATACAACACCCGCACTATCAATGGTTTGATGGGTTGGGTCTCGAGTGGTACGCTTTACCCGCAGTTTCCGAAATGATGTTGGATTGCGGAGGCCTTCAGTTCACTGGCTGTCCATTCAATGGCTGGTATATGGGCACAGAGATCGGCGCCCGAGACTTCTGCGATCCTCAACGTTATAATATAACGGAGAAAATGGCAAAACTCATGGATTTGGACGTCTCTAATGCCTCCACTTTATGGAAGGATAAAGCGATGCTTGAGATGAATATTGCCGTCCTTTACAGCTATCAAAAGGCTGGCGTCACTATTGTTGACCACCACTCGGCCTCAGAATCCTTTATTAAACACATGCAAACAGAGTATAAGCAAAGGGGCGGATGTCCTGCGGATTGGGTTTGGATTGTGCCGCCGATCAGTGGCAGTCTTACGCCTGTCTTTCATCAAGAAATGCTTAATTATAATCTGAGACCAAGTTTTGAATATCAAGAGAAGGCGTGGAGAACTCATAAGTGGATGTCGTCTTCAGTAAAACTAAAATATAGTTTTACTTCAGTCGCGAAGTATGTCATTTGGTAAAACCAATTAAACTAAAACTAACTTAAATGTTGTTTACTAATAATAGGGCAGCCCTTTGGACGGTTAGGCTAATGAGCGGAGTTCTGTCCAAACGGATCAGAGCCACAATACTTTATGCCACAGAAACGGGAAAATCTGAAAGTTTTGCTCAAAAATTAGGAAAATTGATGAAAATGTCATTTTCTGTGCAAATCGTTTGTATGGAAAACTACAACTTTGAGGAATTATTCAACGAATCTTTGGTGTTGTTTGTGGTCAGCACTTTCGGTAATGGAGAGGCGCCCGATAATGGAAAGGTATAGCAATCTAGCAATTGTGCGATAAATTGTATTCATTTAATTAATTAAACAAAATAGCAATTCTGGAAAAGCCTTTCGAAATCAAATCCAAGCCAACAAATGAATGCATTAAAAGATGTGAAATATGGTGTATTTGCGTTGGGATCGACACAATACCCGCATTTCTGCGCTTTTGGCAAAAAGATTGATCATTTACTTCAGAGTTGTGGCGCAACGCAAGCGCTTCCCATTGGTCTGGGAGACGACCTGAGAGGTCAGGAACAGGCGTTCAACACTTGGGGACACCAATGCTACACCTCTTCGTGTGAAAAGTTTGACATAAATGTAGACAAAGACATATCGATAACCAGTTTCGATGAGAAGACATATGACCACCAAATGGTGAGAATGACTGAAGTGTTTGCCGAGTATAACGAACACCAAATACACAACGAATTGGCGAGAATTCATCGCAAGAAAATCATATCGTGTAAAATTGTGGCCAAAGTTAGACTTGAGGGCAAACAATCGGAACGGCACACAAATCTTGTACGACTGACGCCAACCAATCTTGTGGCCAAAAATCAGTTCAATTACGAACCCGGAGACCATTTGGCTATATTTCCATCCAATCCCAAAGAGATTGTGAACACACTGTTAGGACATCTGAACCGAGGCGGCTATACTGACGCCGACTCTCCCATACAATTGCAACGTCTGGTCGACGGGAAATGGGAGCCCGACTCCCGACTGCCCTCGTGTTCATTGAGAGTTGCGTTCACACGATATCTTGACATCAGTTCCCCTCCGACTCAACGATTCTTGAAATACTTGGCAGATATGGCTAACGATAATTGGGACACTTTTAGACTCAAAAAGTTGGCGGATGTATGTCTTTGTTTTTTAAAAATTAATTTTATGAAAAATTGTAATTTGTGTCAAACTATAATCAATAATTTATAGGATATCGACGACTACGAGAAGTGGATACTGTATAACAGCCCTAATATGGCTGATGTACTCAATGAGTTTCATTCAGTACACGTCGACCCGGAGTTCCTGT